ATCTATTAATAAAAACTAACCAATAGAGGGAAAACATAAACATATATAGATATATATGTATATACATACATATTTAAATGTTATATATTTATTAAATGTTCATTATATAAATATAGATGTTATTTAATTGATTCTATCCCCACCTCCCCAACCCCCCTCCAATTACTCACCACATGGAGTTTGGGAATTAATTTAATCTACTGATCGGCCCAAATTAGGCAGATTGGACCGAAAGAAATCTCCAAGTCTAATTTATTATGAAAAAAATTATATGCAAGAAAAAAAATGAACCACAAATTGTGCACTTCACAGTGCACTGCAGAATCACTTTCATTACTTCCATATATGTATTATATAATAGATATTTTAGTGCCTTTACCACTGTTGATCACATTCTTTTCCATACCCTTCACACCCTTGGCCTTCATAACTTTTCTGGTTCTCACAAGTTCTCTCTCGGGCTACTTCAGCATCTCCTTTTCAGTTCTCCTTCTTTGATCTCTTTCCCACCCAGTAATGTGTCAACAATTGCCTTTTTTTTTCTCCAAGTGAATGTCTTCCTGCTCTCTAAAACTCTGTCTTTTCAACACTGAACTTCTTAACTCTCTCCAAAAACCTAATTTTCAAATGTAATTTTCTCTGCAAGTTGATATTACACCCATCAGCCTTTCCTTGAATGTTTGCTGACTTGGTATTATCTTACACTGTAGCCTTAGCCTTACACCTCAGATCCATGTAGTCACCAGATTATATTCACTCCAATCATTTCTTGCCTCAATTACTGTAACCCTCTCCTCATCAAGACTGCTGATCTCAGTCAAACAATGCTTTCCTATAGGAAAGCACTGGGAGGCTATTGCTCATGCACAGCAAAACGCTGTACTGTGCCAAATATTTGGTTATTTTAAATATTTGTCAGGGTGACAGCCACTAGAGCCAGAATGGCAAAGTTTTACATTGCAGGGTTACACAGACTGGGACATGACACCCAGACCACTTCATTGAGAAAAAAAAATAAAGTGTCAAGTTGTCATGTAATGCAGACCCATATCTAAGGGTTGTATAGATTGTGTGTGTGTGTGTGTGTGTGTGTGCGTGTATGGACTGTAGTGTGTGTGTGTTTCAGGGCTATAGAGTGTGTTTGTATCTAGGAGCTGCAGTGTGTGCATAAGTGTTGCATTGTGTTTGTATATTAGTAGCTGTATGTATGTTTATATGGGCTGCATTGTGCATGTGTCTACTGGAGTGTGGTGTATAGGTGAATTTTGGTTAAAAAAAAAAATGTATGTACATTTTACATACTTGGAGGTATAGTGTGTGAATATCACAATTTCCAGAGCTGGTTACTTGTTATATAGATATCCTGATGCTGTGTAGGAACTAATAAAGAGAGGGCCCTGGTGCTACTAAATATTTTGGGTCCTTGTATAGATCTGACAATATATCAAATAAAAATGTAACACATGGAGGTAGCAGTATCCCTAAGGCAGCCCCTGTTGCCATGGTACCTTGTGTTGCCACACAGCTCTTACACCCATAAGTTCGGCCGTGGCTGTTCTTTATGTATTCTGGTGCCAGATGTATTTTTCTTTCCTATTGCTTTTCTCACACGATGCCTCTTTGACAATTATTAAATTAGCTTTGTGTACCCTTAAGGATTAAATTCCATATATTTAATGTTAACATAAGAAGCTCTTAACAACTCTATGCTTGCTACATTTCTTCACCAATTATAGTTCTATCCTTTGTATATCACTTACCTCTGCCAATGACTGCTTTGTGAATATCTCCTGTTAACTGTTCCCATTTTTACTGCTTATTCTAGTTTACAGGATTTTTTTTTTTTTTTTCACTTCGTAGTTTATTTTTATTGAACAAAGTCTGGGGTAGGGTGGGGTACAGAAAAGAAGAGGGGAGGGGGGAGGTGGAGGACATTCAAATACAAATTTCTTTCAGGTTGCTTGTTAGATCTTCATAAGTACACATGTATATAGACACAGTTTAGCTTGGCACGCATACATATTCGATCTAAGGTATCAAATTACATAGGTACAGAGATACCAGGGTGCAGTTGGTTACATTTTTGTGTGTTATATAGTACCGTAGCTTGTTGTCGCTTGAGTACTTTTACGCTAATTTATGCTGTGTTGTTATTCTGAGTATTTGTTTTGTTGTGAGTGGTACAATATGTCCTATTTTGTGCCCTCACATCATGGTGCAAGTCTGTTTACGGGCCTCGAGTGTTCAGGGTGTCAATAACTTATGGTCGTTGGCTTCAATCTATTGTGTCAATCTCTAGTAGCAGTAGTAGTTAATCAATATTAGCAGTAGTAGTTATGGCCTCGTCTGCGTTCCCCTTAAGAGTTACCCATTCTGTCCATCTTCACCAATTAAGAAGTGTGGTGGAGGTCTGTTTGTGAGTGTGGGCTGTGAGCAGATCATATCGGAGGTATTGCCTAATTTTGTAGTGTAACATTGTGGTGGTAGGACATTCTGTTTGTTTCCAGTGACACGCTATGAGATTACGGGTTGCTAGGATCATCATCGCTGTCAGGTGTTTGTCCTTATAAGGTATTGAGTTGGGGTATTGGAGGAAGAGAGTCAGCAGGGGTGTGAGTGATAGTTGTTTGATCCCCAGTTCTTGCCATGTCTGATGAACTTCCTTCCATAGGGGCGTAATGCTCGGACAGTTCCACCAGATATGGGTCATTGTGCCTCGTTCCATCCCACATCTCCAGCACTTGGCCGAGGTGTGGGGTAGATCCTGTGGAGTTTGTCAGGTGTGTAATACCACCTGTAGATTAGTTTTTTATGTGCTTCGACATGTGAATAACAAGCGGTGATACCCTTTAGGGCTTGGAGCGACGCTGTCCATTGCTTGTCTGTGAATGACAGTGCGCATTCTTGTTCCCAGTGTAATCTGTATTTGAACTCTGGAGGCGGAATTTGATTTCTTAAAGCTGTGTAGCTCAATGAGAGCATCTTTGGTTTAATCGGTGAGTTGTGGCACCTATGGTACAGTAATAGTAGGTCGTGGTCTGTGGGGCTTACTTGCGATGTTGGGGGTGCTACTTTATTAGTAATTAAGCTTTTAAGTTGGAGATATGGGAAGATATAGGATGCTGGTAGGTTATGCGTTTTTTGAATTTCCGGGAAGGGTAGTATAGCTCCTTGTTGGCATATGTCCATAATGCGGGTTATTCCAAGTTCTCTCCATTTATCTAGGGACAGCCAGGGTGACACAGTGGTGAGAGCTGTGATGGGAGCCCAGGGTGAAAATTTGCTCTCCGTTGTCCGTGTACGGTGTAGGTGGTCCCAGGTCTGTATCAGGTATTTGGTAAGTGGTAACATGTCTTTGCGTTTGTCCCGAATTTGTTTAGGCGTCCACATATAATTCACCGCTGACCCCGCGGGGTCATAATTGTTTTCGAGATCCACCCATTGTAGTGTGTGGGGTGGTGCGTGTAATTTTATCGCGTTTTCGAGAATCGCTGCTTTGTGGTAAGTTGCTATGTTAGGGAAACCTAGTCCGCCTTCCTTAGTGGGTGTTTGTAGTAGAATCGATGGTATTCTGGGTTTCTTGTTCTCCCATATATAGTTTGTCATTATCATTTGGATTTGTTTGCTCAATGTAGGGGAGAGAGGTATTGGAAGCATCCTAAATACATAGAGCAGTTTCGGGAGTACAATCATTTTTATGGCATTAATCCTGCCTAGCCATGATAGCATGACATCTTTCCACTTGTGCAGGATCTGTTTGCACATGTGTGGCATTGTGGAGTAGTTTAGTGTGTTAATTCCTCTATATGTGGCGGCTATTTTCACCCCTAGGTATGTTACATGGGTCTGTCTCCAGTCAAATAAGTATAGCTTTTTCAGCGCTTGTATGGTTGTGACAGGAAGACGTATGGGAAGTGCTTGGGTTTTGGCCTGATTCAATTTATAATAGGAGACTTTGCCGTATTCTTCCAATGTGCTCAGAATGTGCGGTAGGGAATGTTCTGGTCTCGTAAGGGAAATAAGGATATCATCTGCGAACATGGACAATTTGTAGTTTGCTTGTTTTACGGGGATTCCCTCTATGTCTATGTGGGTTCTAATCTTGTAGGCCAAAGGTTCAAGGGAGAGTATAAATAATAGAGGTGAGAGTGGACATCCTTGGCGAGTGCCGTTGGTGATGTGGAAGGGGTTCGAGATAAAGCCTGTGTTCGTGACTTTAGCTGATGGCTTGGAGTATAGTGCCATTATGCCCGTAGTAAACAAGCTTGGGAAGCCAAATTTTAGAAGTACCTGTTCCATGTATTCCCAATTGAGCCTATCATAGGCCTTTTCGGCGTCTAATGCCAGCAGGAGGCCCTCTGTTTTGCGTGTTTCCATGTGGGCTAGGATATTGAGAATTTTCCTCGTATTGTCTGACCCTTGTCTGTTTTTGGTGAAGCCTGATTGATCGTTATGAACTATGCGATTTAGTATGTTTGTAAGGCGGTTAGCTAAAATTTTTGCGTAAATTTTTGTATCGCAATTGAGTAGAGAGATGGGTCGGAAATTCTGGCAGATCGTCGCTGGTTTGCCTGGCTTCGGGAGTGTTGATATGTGTGCTTGTAGCATTTCAGGGGGCATTTCGCCTATGGTGTAGTAGTGGTTTAAGAGCTTGGAGAGGTGCGAGGTGAGGGTTTCTGAGAAAGTTTGGTAGTACAAATTGGTAAAGCCATCAGGGCCTGGGGACTTGTGAGGGGGTAATTTCAATATTGTGTTTCTTAGTTCTTCCTCTGTGATTGGTTTAGTAATTGTGTCAATTTCTGTCTGGGTTAATGTAGGTAATGTTACTGTATCTAAGTACTCTCGAACTTGTGCTTTGGTCAGTGTGGTTGTTGTGGGATCATCTTTGAGATTGTATAATGAGCTATAGTATTGCGCGAATTCCTCTACTATGTCCTGTGGGTTCATGAGTTTCTTGTTCCCTTGTGTCTTAATGTAAGCTATTTTAGTGTTGGCCGTACGGGCCCTTAACTTGGACGCAAGAAGTTTGCCCGATTTATTCCCTTGTGCAAAGAATTTATGCTTATACTTCTGGAGGATGTAGTTGGTTTTGTCTAGTTCAAATTCATTCAGTTGTGCTTGTAAAGTTCTCAACTTGTTATAATGTTCTGGCGATGGGTTCGTCTTGTTTGTGTGTGTGAGGATTGTTATTTGTTGGATCAGGGTATTATATGTGTGTAGTCTTTGCTTCTTGGCGTAACTAGCATGTTTGATGAACAAGCCCCTGAGCACGGCTTTGTGTGCACGCCACAATGTATCTACGGAAATATCTGCGGTAGTGTTTGTGTTGAAATATGCTTCTAGTTCTGTTTTTATTTGTCTGGTAATTTGGGGATCGCGCAGTAGAGATTCATTCAGGCGCCATGAACCGCGCCCTTTGGTGGGGAATCGAGTTGACATGGTAAGGGTAATCGGTGCATGGTCCGACCACGTAATGGTTGCTATGTTGGTGGATTGTATTGTTGGGATTGTTGTGTTGTGTATGAGGAATCTATCTATTCTTGAGTAGGAATTATGTACTTGGGAATGGAAAGTGAAATCCTTTTCGGAAGGGTGTAGGATTCTCCATATATCCACATATCCCGAGTTTGTCAACTGTGTTTTGGCAGTGTTTGAGGATGTGGTACGTTTAGTCTTCGTTCTTTGCGTAACGTGGAGGGTAGAGGAGGTATCCAATTGTTCGTCTAAAATAAAGTTTGTGTCTCCCCCTATGATTGTCGTCCCAAATTGGTATGTGTTTGCTAGTGTTAGGATTTTGTCTAGATATGCTTTTTGGTTATCGTGTGGGCCGTATATATTTATAAAGGTGTATGGAACATTGTTTAGAAGGCATTGAAGCAGAAGGAAGCGTCCCTCTTTGTCCCCAATTTTCTTGTGCAAGGAAAAAGCCACATCTTTGCTAAAGAGAATGGAGACTCCTCTCTTCTTTTTTGAGTAACCAGTGTGATAACCTATCGGGTAGTCTCTTGAGGAGAACTTGGGTAGTTTGGAGGTTAGAAAATGGGTTTCTTGGAAGAAAGCCACAGCGGCCCTCATCCTTTTAGCTTCTTCGAGAGCTAGCCTCCTTTTGTGTGGTGTATTTAGGCCTTTTACGTTGAGTGAGAGAACTACTAACGCCATGGAGAAGTAGCGGGGACCCTCTTCTGCTCGCAGTGTGATGTGGGAAAAGTAAGGTGCGTTTTTCGAGTCTGAGTCTTGTTCTGGGTGGCCTTGAGGAAGCCTTCATGTAGTGCGATCTCGCCTACGTTAACTATATCATGGTAGCGAGTGTCTAAGGTTAGCAACCTACAGTTATTGGTATTGAATGGGGTATGGGAGGGGGGTCGGGGGTGTAAGGGGATAACTCCCCACCGGGGAACTATGTACAAAAGATTGGTCAGATACTGTATATCAGACCACAACAAGGTCTTTGTCGGCCCTATGGAGCCACAATGGGGGAGGGTGTCTTTGTGGGTATTAACCGCCCATATTAGTGTTGTTATTAGCTTGGAATGCCATATCGCCCGCCTCTGAGGAAGTGGAGACTGGTAATCGTCTATCATCTACACATTAGTTTGTGACTGAGGGCTATGTGTCTGTTATGCTAGGTATTCTATTAACCACATATTAAGCAGATATAACAAAAAACATTGCAAACAATTATACAGACATGTAGCATGCTCACGTATCTAGTCGGTACGAAGATGCATTAGGCTGGGCTGCGCAGCCTGATGTGTTAACCTTAGTCTCATGTCACTTATGTTTTGTCCCAGCGGACCAGTCCTTAGAGATTTTTCTGGGCGACTTGGTGGTTCTGCTTGCTGAATCTTTCACGTCTGGAGGTTTGATGTGTAAATTCCAGTCGCCTAGTAGTCGGGTTCCTTCATCTACCGATTGTATTTGGTGTTCCACTCCGTTTCGCCTCACGATGATGCGTGTTGGATAGCCCCATTTATATAGGATATCTGCATTCCTGAGTGCCTGGGTGATTGGTGACAGTGCTTTGCGCTTAGCCAGGGTTGCTGCAGAGAGGTCCACGAATAGTTTCACGCCTCGGAATTCAGCTGGGATGCTGTCAGGGTTTCTTGCTGCTCTCAGTACTGCTTCTTTAGAGGTGAAATAGTGGATGGGTGTAATTACATCCCTGGGCGCAGTTGCTGCTAAGAATTTAGGCCGCGGCAGGCGGTGAATACGATCAAGGCACAGGTCGGCGTCGCTGAGCTGTGGGCAGAGGGCCTTGAATAGGCCTATGGCATAGTCCCTTAGTGCAGATGGTTTGATTTCCTCTGGTATGCCGCGCAGACGAATATTGTTGCGTCTGTCGCGATCTTCATGGTCCGCTATCTTAGCCTCCAGGGTTTCCCAGGTTGCGGCTAGGTTGTTATGCGCGTCAATAATTTCCTCTGTTTTATCCTCTAATATGGCGGTGCGCGCGCCTATCTCTTTAATGTCTGCGCGGACGTCCCGGGCCAATTTAGCGAATTCTGCTTGGAGATTTTGCTGTAACTCTTGGAGCATGCGGTGCAGAGCCGTTTCTGAGGCAGGAGCTGCGTTGGTATGGGAGATGGATGTGCTGTCACTCCCTTCAGAGCATGCTGTGGGTGAGTCAGGGCCTCCGGCGCCATCTTGTGCTCTGCTGCGCGGCGGTGTGAGAGCCGATATTTGGAGGGCTGTGGGGCGCAATTTCGGTTTTTTTTGCGCTCTGTTGGACATGATGGTTTGGGCTTGTCAAATAAGCCGTTTGTGAGTCGGTCTGGGCGGTTTGCGCTCGTCAATTCGTTGCGGTTTGTTGCACCCTCGTCGGAGCTAACAGCTCACACGTCTGTGTCCATGAGCTGCCAGGCCACGCCCCTAGTTTACAGGATTTTTAAAGGGCAACTTCATTGCTATGGTACAGACCCCCTCTCAAACTTCCTGTTAGTCCGGCCGGGTACAGGAAACAGCTGCTCCCTGTACCCGCGGACTATCAGTGCTGCAGGGCTCGCCCACGCTACAGCAAAGGAAGCTGACAGGAGGGAGCGATCAGCGCTTCCCTCCTGTCAGCCCCCTTTCTCAGGCTGCGCCCGGGCGGTGCGGTCCGCCCTCATGGACGCACCGCCCGGGCAAAGCTGCAGCCGCCTGAGGCTCACTACAGAGCGCTCGGGCGGCTGCCCCCCCCTTAGTACGCCACTGTGAAAAATCCTTAATATGTCTTTTCTTATTTTTTGTATTAACACACGCTCCACAACCGCCACAACCATAGAAGCGTCCTTCTTCATTAAACACGTTTTTTAAGGGCTGTTCCCTACGTAAATGGCTAGAGACTAAGTTACTTCTTAAATTTAGTACTCCTCTATAAATAATTTGTGGTTTATCTGGGAGTATAGAATTTAATATTTCATCTTTTTCAGAATTGGCCAGTATATATATTTATTACTTTTCGAACATCATTATGTCTACAGTTAAAATCACAAATACGTGAAATTTGCTCATTCCTATCATTTACTTTTGGTTTATTCGGGATTAAAAGTTATTTTCTACTTTTCAGATTCCTATTAAGGAGTTCTTCTCCATATCCCAAATCATTAAGAATTTTAATTGATTGCTGATTAAATTCCTCCTCTTCTGTGCAATTGCAATTAATCCTTCATAATTGTGACTTCGGTACATTTCTCCACGGAGAGAAATGGCAGCTTGCCTCTTCTACATAACTGTTGACATCTACTGGTTTAAAATATGTCTTGGTTTTAATTTGGTTATCCTCCACATAAATATTAAAATCTAAAAAGTTTACATTAGATTTGCTAAAATCACTTTTAAGTTGAATGCCCCAGTCGTTATTGTTTAAAAAATTAAGAAAGTCCTGGAGGGAAGATTCTTTCCCCCTCCATATAAAAATATATCATCAATATATCGGCGATAGAGCACCAGATTCACACCCCCGTCACCTCTGTTATAAATATATTCCTCTTCCCATTTGGGCATAAATTAATTGGTGTAACTGGGCGCAAATCTGGTGCCCATTGCCGTACCGCAGATCTGAAGATAAAAGTTCTCCACAAACCAAAAGTAATTGTTATTTAAAATCCACTGTATTCCTTCAAAAATAAAATCAATTTGTGGTTGAGGAAAAACTTTAAAAAATTCTAAAAAATATCTAGTAGATAGGCAACCCTTCTCATGTGAGATAATTGTGTAAAGGGAGCCAACATCTGAAGTGACTAGGAAAAAAATCACCCTCCCAAAAAAGATCCTTTAAGATGGTCAAGAGGCCAAGAGTGTCCTTCAGGTGACTTGGACATCTCTGCACCGTTGATTGTAGACATTTGTCCATATATTGAGATAGTTTACTGGATATAGATCCTATCCCTCAAACTATCGGACGTCCTGGGGGTTTCTCTTTATTTTTGTGGACTTTGGGAAGATAATAAAAGACAGGGATTCTTGGATTTAAAATATTTAAAAAAAAATACTCTTTTTAAATTTAAAATACCTAACATTTTTCCCTTATCTATTATATAGGTTTTTTTTATTGAGTATTAAGTAGGTTTTTCTGTCTCCCAGTAACCAAAGGGATTCTTCTATGTAGTCCTTTCTCTCAAGTAATACAATGTCCCCCCTTTTATCCGCTGTTTTTATGACAAGAGTATCATCCTCTTTAAATGCTTTTAGAGCTGCTCTTTTGGCCTGATTTAGGTACAATTCATGGTTATTGGGCTTTTTTACTTTCTGCAGATCGTACATAACCATCTTCTCAAAGGTGATAATCTCATCCGAGATTTCACCCATAGGGAAGAACTTAGAGGGGTCTTTTAGTTCAGTGTGTGTAAACTGACTATATTCATGATGAACATTAAGTTCATTCATATTGGGCTTCGCAAAAACATTTTTAAGACATAACTTACGTTTAAATTTGTTCAAATCAATATAGAAATCAAATTTAGACAAAGTTTTGGTCGGGGCAAACCTAAGGCCTCTATTTAACAAGGTAACTTGGGGTTTCAAGAGTGTTCTCTTAGTGAGATTGAAAATACTTTGTTGCATTGTTGGTTGTTTCTCCTTTCTTCTCTGTATCTTTCCTCCTCCTCTACTTCCCCTTCTTCTAAGGCCCTCATTCTCTTCCCTGGAGATTTGTATGCTGCTTCCATTTGTTTGTATCTTCCTTTTACTCTAGTTTCCCAAAAATCCTCATCCCTAGGGGGTCTGTTGAGTTGTTCAGACCTATTGCTCGTACAAATTTAATCTCTTCTTTTATTCTAATTTTCTCTCTGTTTTTTTCTCTGCATTGAGTATAGTTTAGTTGGAGACCTTTCCAATATTTTTCTATTTTCATGCTTAACCACCTCCCACTGTTGATTCCTTCTTTGTTCCTTATTGGGAGTTTTAGGTTTTTATGTTTTTGCAGGTGTTCTTAATT